CTACAAAAGTCTTGTATTTCCCATAACATCCTCTATTATTATAAATGGCGGTAATGTGACACTGCGCAGTAGTTATAGGAAGATATTTCAATTTAAGAGATGGGCAGATATGCTAGATTTTGGTGATGAGCTATTTGTATATGTAGGAAGCTGTTTAATACCAGTGTTATCTGTCAACATTAATATTTATTGATCTTGTGATAGGATCATCGTTAGATTATTTTAAACCAAAACATGGTCTGAATTTCGATTCGAATGTTAGAACTGGTGCTAACGGGGTCTCGCCTTGTACGGACCAATTTTGATGAATTTTTGCACGATTCTCGGACTGTGCTTTAACTCTTTCTCTCCGTAATTATTTATCACATTTTGGTGGAATCAACGTTGGTATCGTTAGTTAGGAGAGAAAGAGTTAAGAGACTAAATCCCAGTACGTGGCCTATGTACATTGAGGCTCACTGATGGAGCTTCTGGACGGTCAGAAAGAATCTTAGCACTCACTGACTTGACCTCGTTAACGTTAGGAATGAGAAGTGAAAAATGGAGTTTGGAAAGATATGAAAGGGGACATGCCAAATTAAATTTCTATATAGCGACGCCCACGTTGTTGGGAAAGAAATGTGTAAACTTAAATTTTAAAATAAGTTGGACTCGTAATAGGTTTCTTGAATTTGCATTTATTCACTGTAATTTTTGTAATAAAACAACATTTTCGTTACGTTGCATTCGATTCTTCTTACTCGATTTGGTGGGCTTCTTTCTGAAGAACCTGTAGATGAGATACTCCTTCTTCCACATGCACATGTAGACGTTCTCCCTGTAAGTTACATTCTTGATGATCCAGTCCAGACTGACCATTGACTGATCATGGATGTGTAGTGCCGCCCCTGGGTCATACAACAAAAAAAGGAAATGTAAATTCATGTGTCTTAATAAGACTCAATTTAATTCAGGCCCTCATTAGTTGGATTATTTTTTAAGGGATGTGGGATTTTAAGATTAATGTCAATCACAGGAAGATTTTCTATGCGTACTTATTAATTTTTAACTTCCTCTTTACATTAAAATAAAAATAGGATATTGTAAAATTTAAAAGAAGAGGAAGAGATATGGAGAAATATCGAGGCGGTTTAAAGAACCTAAATAAAAACATAAGAAAAAAAAAAAAACATTAAAGATTGGGAGATTATAAATAATGAAAAGATGAACTGAACACAATGCCAACTAAGTAAGTTCAATAAGTAGCAGTCTAACTGTTTGAGCTTAGAAATGAGCCTAAACCAAATCTGCTCGTTTTGCGCACGTTCAAACGACCGTTTTCACCAGAGCGTTAAGCCATCGATCTTTTGGGGTCTTGTGCTGACCAAAACAGTTTTTCTACAAGATGTTAATCGTAAGATGATTGCCATGGCCGCCGCGAGGGTTGTGGCCGCCTGCGTGCGAAATTAAAAAATGCTGCCCCTTTTTTTTTTGGAAAAAAATTCATTAAGACTGAGCTGGACACTGTACTTAAAGCGCTCTTTGATTTAAGTTCATTTTTTGTTTTTCTGCCAAATTCGCATCACTGTCGTATCCCTATACCCTCTAAGACTGAGTCTAAGATGTTTTGTTTTCAATTCTGACTGTATTTTTTTTTTAAAGAATTTAATGAAAAAAGAAAGAATCTTAGTATTATACTATATTTAGGTGTTGTTGTTTTTTCATTTATATTTTTAACACTATGTATAGAATCAAAATTTATTTAATGACATTTCACAAAAAAAAAAATCCGCATTTTTTTTTTCAAAATAGTGTTGCCTACATAAATTTTAAGCGTTGTAAAAGTTTTTTAATGGAGATAGAATTGAAGAAGGTTTTCGCTCAAGTCGACAAGGGGTTTAATTCCAGGAGGGACACTCAGCGCTAAGCGTTTGCTGGTCTGTTTCTCTTAGTAAGACGTTTGGATGTTTTCATTTCAAACGCACTGTTCATCCTAATAACAAAAAAAAAAACGAGGGCCATATTAAATCTAATAATAAAGAGGCAGCCCTGGCCAATTGTATTAAGCGAGAGACATTCTAGGTAGGCTTACATATTGCGCACGAACGTCTATAATGGGCGTGATCTTTTTAAAAATATCTTTAGTGTTAAGTAAGACTTCCCTGTCGCAGACGTTTTTTCAAAACAAAAGTCGTCACCATAATGAAGTGCATAGACGGAAGAAATTCTATTATTTTAAGAATCCCACACCAGCGGAGACGTTTTAAAATGTGTTCTTCAAAACGTTTTGACCAATATTGTTGCATACGCGCCTCGCAAAAAGCGGTCTACATTTAACAAGGTCTTATTAGAAGATAAAAACGACATCTCCTACTGAAAATATTTTAATTTTTAAACTTGTAATTTTACTAATATTCAGATAAGTTACACTGAAATGAACAAATGTTTTCGATGCCCCTCTCCTTGTTGTTAGTTAGTCTTTCGTTTGTCGCTACAAACAGCCTCTACAATTGTGCCAATAAAGGCGTTTTACATTTTTACTAAATAAATTTTTAAATAACTTTAAGAAACTTCCTTTGTGATAATAAACTCAATATAGCCTAACTGTTATTACAATAGTCACATATTTAACTTGAGATAGAGATGTAGTATTAATAAAATATACTAATATTTAAACGAAATCTAGCTCCCCACAAAACATCTTTACTCTTTCATGTTTCAAGATTGCTGTTTCACATTTGCATTACGCTAATTTCATCATTCTCAATGCATAACTGCCAACCAATCGCTTAACCTCTTCTTACTGCTGCCTAGGAAACACACTCACACTCTATAACACCCCTTATTGTTTTGAAGTTGCGCCCCTTCCCTGAGCAATTAGAGGTACTTGCCACCCACCCACCCTCGGGGGAGGACTCAAAGTTTGAGAAATGCTGCATTAAAAATATCAATGATCAATACTGCAAAACAGAATAATAGGAATAATAATCCAATACGGAATACTTTCACAATTTTTAAAAATAAAACACTAAACATAAATGTAAATACCGCTACATATAAAATTAACAATTAAGTAGTTCTAATGTCAAATATTTATAAAACAGATTCCACTTCTGTGAGACTCTGCTAGGAAAACAAGATAATTATAATTTATTTTAAACTGGAACACTCTATAATCAGCCACAAATAGTCTACTCTCTACTCTAGTCTACTCTAACAGCCATTTCAAATAAAAGTGACACTGTTTTTAAAATTGACTTTCTAATTACAAGATCTACTTACAAGGCGGGATATTCGACTCAAAACAATTATTGCAAACAACCCGCAAAAATTCAAGGCCAGGGAGGGTCGGCGTGTATGGAAAAACCCACTATGGGAATCCCTCTTTTTTTTTCTTTTTAAAGTTTCCAAAATAACTTTTCGTCCCCCCCCCCCCCCCCCCCCCCCCAAAAAAAAAAAAGTTTCCAAATGATAATGGAATCATAAGATTTTAAATAAAATATTTAAGTATTTTTTAAAATTATTATTGAACCCAAAATTTTAAAAAAAAGGAATCATGAAATAAGGATTTGGCCGCCCATAACATTCGGCTGCCTGCGTGCAATGCACACATTGCAAGATAGGTAGCGGCGGCCCTGATGATTGCACTAATTAAAGACAGACTTATACTACTCGTGTCTTGATTGTCATTCACAGTTCAGTGTCGGCCCGTAGCCAGGGAGTGGCTCTTTTCATTTAATTTGATCTGCCCTTTTAATACAATGAATAGTGAGCTGTTCATGTTAGGTGAATTCGCTTGTGCATATAAGAATGCAAGAAAACGCTTGACTTGGGCTTTCCCCGTACCCCGCTTGGGGAACAACTAGCGACCAGAGCTTCCCCAGACCCTTTAACAGTCGAAGATATGTGTACGTATGCATGTATGTTATATGTATGTGTTTATATGTGTCTTTTGTGCGTGTACTTATATATTGGTTAGGACTAACACAAGGTTACAGTAAAATTCACCCCCCCCCCCTCAAAAGTTAGGCTTCGCTAGTGTTTTGGTGTATCGGACTTTAATTATAATGACAAGATTGAAATAATTAAATCTTCTAGACTTAATGAGTTAAGTCAAACAGCGAAGAGTTAAAACCTTTGGGCATCCTATGTATCAGCTGGTATAAATAGGTTTGGTCAATCTCAGGCTTGGAGTAATAGAAACTGGTAGACGGGGAATAGATCGTTCTGTTGATAAGACTTGACTCTATCATGGCGCGTTTCTCCTGAAAGTGAGATGCAAATATTTGTGAAAAAAAATGTTTAATAAAATCATTAACACCCCTTCAAAAATCCCAATTTTACAAATAAACAGACATCATATTGAATAATAATAGCACAACGGCCGTGGGCGTATCAAGGATTTTTTTTCGGGAAGGGGGGGGTTGGGGGGAATTTTTTTGAACCCCAACCCTCCCCCCGGCTACGCCCATGACACCGACGATAGTAGACCTGGTTTTATCGCCGTGTTTTGTTTTTTTTTTACAACATGTTTCTACTTGTCTGGTAAAAACTTGAATGTATAATTTTTCATCTTCATGGGAGATAAGCTATGAATACGTTTTTCGTATTAATTTAAATGTTGTGTCCCTTTCTATAGTTTCATTAAGTATGTGACCCACTGTGACACTTTAGTCAGCAATTGGTCAATTGACAATAAGTGACTCGTCATGAGTGCTTACAATTTTAGCTGTCTTTATTTTACGTTCATCTACTAATTTATATATTAAGTACATTTTTTTTCTGGTATCAAAAATGATTGGGCCTACCTTCATAAAGATAGAGTTGACTTTAAGCTCAGCTGCACTCAGGACCAGGTTTGCACCTATCCGGCTACTCTCGTCATCATCAATCATTTCTGATCTCATCTTCATGTAATCCGATGGAGTCAGAGTATCCGCCCCTGGAGATAGCATTAGCAGAACGAGGCACGAGCAGCAGACCCTGACCAACTGGTTGCACATATCTGGCTTTGGTTTAAGTGACAGCGATTGCTATTGAGAACTATTGTTTGATACAAAGTTAAATAGCTATATGCAATTTTTCGAGACTAATTAATGAAATATTGAGAAATTGTGAAATAGCAAGATTTTGAATTACAGGCCCTACACTTTCCGCATTTAGCAAACAGTAAAAATAATGTATACAAAAGAACATGAGAAGACTTATCTTTATCTAAATACTAGCCGGATGTTACACGCAGCCTGCGGGCCTTAGTTTATGTCTTTACTAATCTAATGGATTGGATTAAGATGTATGTCAAAGTTAGCTATTGATCCTTTTAAGTTTTTCTCTTTCACCAAGAAAACAAAAGTAGTTTTACGAACATGGGTTTACCCGCTAAGCTGATACATTCGTACTAAATATAAAATATTTGGTAATTTGTTTATCCGATTTGTTAATGGTTTCTTAAATAGAGATAAATGTAGCTATTAAAACGGGTTTCCCAATTTGGTACCATAATAGAGAAACAATTAGTTATTTTTTGTCTGTTTTTAGGGCCTGCAAACATTTAACGTACATTACAGTCCCGCCATGATCTATGGAACATTTATGCCAATTTTATTAAGTATATTCATGCGTTAAAGTATACAACTCTTTGTGAAGGATAGTTCTATCATCTTAAACTTGAATTAGATCTAGGGTTTGAGAGATTTTAAGTTCGTAACCTTTCGGCCTAATGAAAGAAGCGCGTGATGAGTGGGATTATAAAGTACGCAGATATAAGAAACGAATTTATGCAAAAATGCTTTTGAAACACAAATTTAAAGGTTAAGTTTATTAAATAATGAAATTAATGGACTACACCTATTCACCAAAGTACAAAACTATCTTTGCAAAGTGTAGTTCTTAAAATTCGATGTAGATCCTTTCGATTTTGTTTCGTGTAAACATGGGTATCTGACCTAGATCCATGAAATAGTAATACTTTCATAAAGTTGAGCAACATTTTTTTTAGGGGAGGGTCTTAAGCTTTTTGGGGGCTACTTTACATACCTTATTGTTCCAGTTAGTAACCAAGGAACATTTATGGCAAGTTTTATCAAGACTAGTCAAACGGTTCTGATTTCTAATCGGGACACACATACTTAAATACATACATACTTACTTTATCTATATTATAAAGTAGAATGTGAGGTGTATGTATGAATGTATGTTACTTATAGACATCAAAACCGCTTGACCAATCTTGATAAAACTAGGCAGAAATGTTCCTTGGGTACTAACTTAGACCGTAGTGTATGTATTGTAGCCCTAAAACAAACTTAAGACCCTCAAAAAAAAAAAAAGTTGTCCGACTCTATTACAGCTATAGTATTTTATGGATCTAGGCCATGTCTACAATGTTGACATGAGAAAAGATCGAAAGGATTTAGACCTAGATCTATTTTTAAGAAATAAACTTTGCGCAGATAGTTTTTTACTTTGACACATGAAAATACAAAAGATGATCAATTAAATTATTATATAATAAAATTAACCTTCAATTTTCTGTTTCAAAAGCATTTTTTACATAAATTAGTTCCTTATATCTGTGACTACAGATTTCCTGACGAACATTCTTTCATTAGACAATACCGTAATGAGTTGCGTACTAAAAATTAATTCGTTTAATTGTTTACTTTATAATCCCATCCCTAGATCTAAAACTCTAATTCAACTCTAAGATGATAAAACTTCTCTTCGCACAGATAGTTTTGTACTTTAACACATAAACATATTAATTAAAGTCCATTCATTTCATATTTTGATCAAATAAACATTCAAATTTGGTTTTCTAAAGCTACATTCGTCTACGAAAGCTGCGAAGCCGAGTTGAGATAGGCCTAGATCTATATTCATTAATGAATCGCATACTAAAAATTATTTCGTTTAATTGTTCACTTTATAATCCCATTCATTTAACAAAGCTATCGCTCTTTTCGTTTTAAATAGATATGAATGTATCGGCTTCGGGTAATCCCATTTTCGCAAACCTAATTTTATTTTCGTAGCGAAAGATAAAAAACTTGAAAGGATCATTAGTTAAGTTTAACATACAACCAAATCCAATCCACTAGATTAGTAAACACAAACTTAGACCCGCAGGCCGCGGGTAATGTCTGGCGAACATATTTTCATTAGACATTACCAAATGGTTACACATTAACAGTGATTAACACATCTCTCTACTGAGTCAATTCCTAGGCCTAGGTCCAAAACTCTTATTGAACTCTAAGATGATAAAACTTCTTTTCGCAAAAGATAGTTTTATGCTTTATCACATAAACATACTAATTATTGTCCATTCATTTCATATTTTAATCAAATTAACATTCAAATTTGTTTTTCTAAAGCATTTTTAATACATTCGTTCGCTGTTCGCTAAATAAAGCTGCGTAGCCGTGTTGAGATATATTCAGTCATGAAAAAAGGTCACGCATGCGCAACACAGAATGAACTCTATAAAAGCCAATTTTTAACTCTAGATTAGTGTTGATTTAGATCTCAAGATCTACTTTATACTGTAACTCACGAACATATAAAATTAAGTCTATTCATCTCCAATTTTAATCAAATATATGTAGGCCTACAAGCAAATGTTTTAATTTGAACAAATGGATTTAAGCCTCTTAGCTATTCTGATTTGATAGCTTCATTCACACTATTTTTACATTGACACATTCGCTTTACTTATTACATTATTATTTCGTTTAATTGTTTACAAAACACTCTCAGTGACTATATCGACAGTAATGCGCAAATAAATACCCGCGTGTCACATATGTGTAGTGCTTAATATAATAGATATGTACGTATAATAATGAAGCGTGTCTTCAAATGCTATGATTAATAAGTAGTGTAGTATTTCACGTGTATAAGCAACCCAAGCTTCGAACTACATATTTCGCCACATCCAAAGCAGACATAACCATTGTCTATGTCTGTCCTCAGCAGTGAATTTCCGTTTGGTCTCAAAATGTGTATCCCGCGGCCTTTGTAAGTGATTTCCGGCTGTCTCGTTCTGAAACCGCCTTCAGTTCTCTTCCATGTCAGTTAAAGCAAGTTGGCGCCTTAGTTGGTCTTTAAAGCGTTTCCGTGGGGCACTCCTTTAACGTCAGTTTAACAATCTCAAAGGGAATATATGAACGTTGTGAGAAGACGTACAATCTAATATCTTCCTCGGCCGACATTTAGTTGTGCTTTATCTAAGGACACGCTCATTGGGGTTACATTGGGTTAGTGGGAGGCGTGGTCGAGAGGCTAAGTGCAATTGAACTTTGCTTGGCTTGGCTACCTATAAAGGGGGCTCGAGGTTCGACATCCGACTAGGGCAGAAGTGTGTTTACTGAGCGCCTAAAGGCAGCACGGACAACCTTCTCCCAGATACCTCCTCCCCCTCCACTGGTCCACAACTGAGATTGGACCAAAGCGCGCTCTAAGCATGCTATAAGCATGAAAGTAGCGCTATATAAAAGCCATATTTTATTTATTTTTAAGACAATTAGTGAGGTGTAAATTTTAACAGAATAAATTCAATTTTTTTTCAAGTCAGTAAGTAAGGTTTTGTCCATTTATCGATGTGGCAAATGGCGTATGTCACAGCCTAGTTCTTGTTGTAGGCGTGATAACGCGAGTGTCGTGGTGTAGATACCTGTTGTAGATACTTTAATATACTTTGTCTTCCTAATTAAATACTTTCACTCGCGCACTAGATTTGCTGGTGCGTGAGAACACTAACATGCTGAACTCTTTGACCACAATATTCAGAATAATTAATAGACTCACTGGTAGCAGACATGGTTTTTATTACATATAATATAATTAATAACAGATATTGGCAAGTCCAGCCATCAAGAAATATTCACAAAACATAGTGAATTATAATCCAATGAAATACTCCAAAATCAATCTTAATATCTATACATTACTACACTGGACAAGATATCCATAATCAACCTCTCTCTACGAGAGTCCAAGATCAACTCCCGTCCACCTCGTGGTCAACTTCCAACCAAAAAACAAAATCTCGTGCGAACAAGAACGGAATGGTTCAGTGATTACTATTCACCAAATATATAAAAGCCATAATTTATTTATTTTTAAGACAATTAGTGAGGTGTAAATTTTAACAGAATAAATTCAATTTTTTTTCAAGTCAGTAAGTAAGGTTTTGTCCATTTATCGATGTGGCAAATGGCGTAAAACACGTTCATGTCTCTATCTGATTGTTAGTTTGGTTGCTACTCGGCCATGAAAACCGCCAAACGTCTTCAGTTTCCCAACAAAATCTTTCCTTACCTTCCTCTTCTCCTGCTCTAACGTTTTTCTTGCAGGTTTGATACTAAGTCAAGTTTCCCTTTTCCGACCTTGCGATCTATAGGGCAGATCATTAAAGAAATTTCTACAAATCAAATAAGAACATAAAACTAAATGTTATTTAACCTTGGTTAGGCCAATAATAGAATATGCATTCTCCGTTTGGGACCCCTCAACTCAAGAAAACATTAAGAAACTGGAACAGACACAAAATAGAGCAGTGCGATTCATAACAAAGGAAAATTCACACTTGACTAGAGTAACACCTTTAGTAAAATCACTAAATTTAGAGAGCCTTCATGACAGAAGACTTATAAGTAAAGTAGCAAATATACATAAAACACTGAACCATAATCTTCAAATACAAAAACAAAATTTAATATAATACTGTGAAAGACACAAAGATAAAGAGATATGTATTGTTCCATATGCTAAGACAAATTTGTACAAATGCTCCTTCTTCCCTAATGCTATTATAGCAGGGGTTCTCAACCTGTTTGTCGCGACCCCCCTTGGGGGTCGATTGACGATTTGTAAAAAGGGGTCGCCGAGCATAAAAGGTTGAGAACCGCTGTATTAGAGCATGGAATGGGTTGCCTGGGCTAGCCAGGAAAACCAGTGACATGGCAGACTTTAAGTCATTGGTTAATATGCATGACTAAATGCATGACGCGTAGGACGTAATCATCTTCTTTTTTTGAATTATATAAGATAAGATAATATCATATAAAGGTCATCTGTTTCTGTGGCCCACTGCTAACAAGGGTGTCATGTGGCCAGCACAACAACGTTTTATTTTCCCCAACTAATGTCAGCCAACCATTAGTGCTGGGTAGACTCAAAGGCGCGCAAAGATCCCGAAATTGAAAATCCCTGTCTTCACCAGGATTCGAACCGGGTACCAAGCGCTTTACCGCTCAGCCATCGCGTCTTTGATTTTAAAGGCCGTTGCATTTCTTGAAGTCGCTTTCTTCTATTTGTGTCTTTTACGAATTT